GCAACATGCGGGGCCCCGCAGTCATCCGGTTCGACCTGACATGGCTGTGTGACTGACCCGAGCTTGCGCGTTCTGATAGCTCCGCCCCTTCCTCCCCCCACATCTACAGGTGAAAATTACTTTAGCGACACATTCATCGCAAGAAGTGTAGCAAAAGTCAAGGCCGCAGATTCCATGGGAGCCTGCCTGCAGGCGCCAGTCTCAGGACACCTCCACTCTGAGGACACCTCCACTCCAGGGTTTCTGCTAGGATTTTTTCTCGCCAGTCGAATGTCCGGAAATAATTTATTCTACCGGACAAATTTGAAACTTACCTGTCATGTTTCAATAATAATAATAAGAATTTTGTAGCAGAGTTTCCGTTAGCAGGTAATTACCGGACTATCACCGGATATGCTGATGTTTAAAACTCAGTTAATGGGAGTAATTTTGATCTTGCTTCAGTTTATAATCGTAACAGATCGAAAGATTCAGATTCATATTTCAATAAAGGATTCCACAAACAACAAACAACATAATTATTACATTCAAAGAAACTACTTGTAGTAGATGAAGTACCGTAATTTTCGCACTATAAGGCGCACCTGAATATAAGCCGCAGCAGCGGCATACCACTCTCGGTTCCACTTTTACTTTTGCGCGCTACCTGTCTCACTCTTTTCCAGCCTCCAGCTTTTCTTGCTGGAACCCGCCGCTTAAAGGTGGGGGTCCGCGGACCGGCCATAGAGCCCATAGAGTTAAAGGTGGTGGCCGTTAGCTGTAAAAGTCCATAGATTATCCGCACCGTTATATAAGCCGCAGCGTCGAAAAATGGGGAAAAAGGCGCGGCTTATAGTCCGAAAATTACGGTAATCATGATTAATCACCATTCGAACTATGTCCAAAATATGCCATTTCTTTATGTATATAGACTACTACAGCAAAAGTATTCTCCATCAGAACTTCCTGCAACAACACCACGCCGTTATCTTGATTCTGATTGGCCAGAAGACATTATCAAAGATGTTCTATTGAGAAGACGTGACAAAACGTGACAAAAGTTTTCAAAACCGTTTCTAGTCTTCGGTATTTCGAGACAAGTGACTACTGAAATCAATCTTACTAACTGCTGTCTGTGCAATTTACTCGGCGCCTGTTGGCGGACTTTATTTAGCTTACTTTAACATCATTTTTCATGGTGGGGCTAAGCCATTTCTTGGTATGGGTGTAGCCTACCCCAGCCATACCCTGGCGCTGCCACTGGTGGGATGTATGGGGCGGGTCATTCTGCAAATGTGTTAAACGCGTTAAATATTTTAACGCAATTAATTCAAAAAATTAATTACCGCCGTTAACGCGATAATTTTGACAGCATTAGTTACTACTAGTGTAACTAATTACTTCAGAAGTGAGTAATTTAGTAAAGTAAGGTAAAGTACTTTTTTTTTAAAGAAGTAATTAGTAATGTGTAATGCATTACTTTTTTTGATAACTACCCCAACACTGGACAATACCATTCTACTGTCTAAAATAGCACGTGTGTGAAATGGGTCAGCATGGTTTTTAGTGACGTTGTGATCTGCAATGAAACATTTTTCCATGAGGAATATACTCATTTGTTGAAATTATCTTTTTTTCCTTTTAAGGCAAGCCATTTGTCCACACTGTCTCTGCAGTGTGACAAGAGGATGGACGATGAAATGCGGGGAGGAAAACGTAAAATCAAACTGGTCCAGCAACAGGTGAAGAACATTTCAAAGGCATCGTTTCAGGTGCTCCTTTCTCTATGCTTCACACCACTCATCATGATCTCTGTTGGATGTGTAGGGCCACAGTGTTGCTGTGCAGTCAGAGATCCACACCCAGTACACAGCCATGTCCTTTGGGATGCAGTAACACACATACAGCATGGTGAAGTCACTGGTACAGACAGTTGCACTTTGTAAAACTAACAGTCTACACGTTAATATCACTGTTGTAGACAAGAGTAGTTAAAGGGCATTTTTTTGCTTCACCACTGAAACATTGTATATATATGTATATCATATGTTATTATTTATTTTGACTTTTTATCACCCATGACATGTAGTGCTAATTCAAAAAGCAGGACAGTCTGAGAAAAGCACAACTACAGTAGCTGCGGTGCACCTTTTGTAGACTAGGGGTTATAAACTGAATTTTAAAAATGTATTGTATGTATATATGTACAATAAAAGTGTTAATATTACTTCAACACTGACAGAGCATACTTAATAAACCAGAGGGGGACCATTACACTTCCATGACAATCTGACCTAAATGGGAAATAGACATGCATCAAACTCCAGCGAACAGCATCCCTGACAGCCACTACGGGGCGTCTCTGTGCCTTTTCTTTCAAAAAGTAGAACACTTATCTGTGCCATTATGTTAGCGTTAATGGAAATGAGAGTGTGTCTGTGTGGGGGTCACGTTACACGTTTATCCTCAACCAACAGGGCAGGTTGCCCCAAGGACCAAAAAGGTGAGCCGCCTTTCAAATGAAGACTCGATTTGTATTACTATATTAAAAAGGATTTTCAGTGAACATTGCAGGTGTGAACATTGCAGGTGTGAACATTGCAGGTGTGAACAGTGAGTTTTTCTCCCTCTTGTAGAAGAAGTCGCAGGTGTCGGAGGCGGTCTCTGGGGAGGGGACCTCCAGCAGGGTGAAGGGTTTCCTGGCAGAGATGAAGAAGTCTCTGAGCCAGTGCAACTTTGAGCAGATCGTTCAGACTCTGCAGACCTACAAGAAGACTGACGACCTGGACGTGCTGCTGACGGACACGGTGGTGCTGACGGAGGACGCCAACACCTACAGCCTGCTCCGCGGTAACACTTCTGATACTGCATGCACTGCATTTCAGACTAATGTTAATCTTATTCAAGAGTAAAGCCTCGAATTGGATAAACAAACTAACCCTTAATTATGTCATCAAGTGACACAAAAACATCAAGATCTATTATAGGGAATGGGAACCGTGGTGCATTCTGGGGCGTCGCGGCCATCTGAGGAGGATAGCGTCAATAATACAGCAGCAGCGTCAAATATATCAGCTGTTTCCATTCAAAATGAATAAAGAATGTGTGAAATATAAATGCCCTTACACAGAGAAGCTGTATGCAGGAACAGAGGAGTGTTATTCAAAAAGAGAAATGAATTATTGACATCTACCTGATAACGGTTACTGATGTCGGTCCTCTCTGGTGTTTGAAGTTAGCAGTGTTCCCAGTGTAGTGCTTTATGTTCATGTAGTAAACACATTCAGCGCCTCTTGCTGTTGTTTGTTACGTCTTCCTCGTCTCCCTGTTAGTTTAAAAGAATAAAATGAAATCCCATTGTCATTTTACGTTTGTTTTTTGGTGAAAGGCATGGCAGTGCCAGCTATATAAGAGTGCCTACCAAATGTTTAAAAGGTTTTAAAGTGAAAAAGTTACGGCTTCTCCGCTGTCCAGGTTAAGTGGAAAGATTGTGGTTGCTAGTATCCTCCAAAGATGGCAGTTAACACATTCCCATTCCCTATTGAACAGAATAATATGAATATGTTTGGAGTGTCTGCCATGCTGATGTGTGTCTCTCAGGCCTGTACCAGTTCATCCGGCCCCATCACAAGCAAAGGTTTGACGAGCGGTGCAGGGGCCTGACGGGGGGGGGCTGCGGCTACGAGCCCAGCCACTCTCTGTCTGTGGAGGAGAAGAAGGCCCTGCTGAACAGCGGTACAACACTGCACGCTGCATATTTACTGAATGTGTTTGACATATTCTCACATTTCATGAACATGAAATGTCTTTTTTTGATTCATGTGTTAGTCAACAAAGTTTTAAAATGTTTTGGGTATTTTTGCTTTCAAATGTAAATCAAATCAAAAACGTTTCTGCAATAATTCATATATAGATGGCTAAATTATGAATGATTCCTGTAGACAGAGCGATACCATAATACTTTATTGTCAGATCGAGTCGGACATTTTCCTTGTATCAATTGGCAACATCAACAAGGACCCATACTAAGACAAGATACACAGAAACAGACATTTAACCGAACATCACGATCACTGAAGAGAACATATTCAAGACCCTCTGACGTACATTAGATCTGGGATTACCTCTGTGATTGATTTTAGGATGACTGGTGCACAAAGGAGAGCTTCAGTCTGACCTTATTCAAATGTGGGACTCAGATGTGATGGTAACAATTCATACTCACTGTGCAGGACATGGTTGGGTCAGAGATGATGTTAATATGTTATTATGGTCGGCTGGTTATTAAAATCTCTCACAGGGTTGACCTACAATCTTTGAGCAGATTAACCGGTGGAGTAGTTTGGACTTTAAAGCGAGAGACAAACACTTGTACCAGCTAGTATTGCAGTGCTGTAGAACACTCACAATCACAGATGTAAAGAACAACAAGAGTTTGTCTAATATTGCAGACATATTCCATTTGGTCTTTTCATGACAGAAGAGTACACTGGCAGTAGGAAAGGAGGGCTGATCTGTATCTGTGTTTGTGTGTTCTCACAGCTGCAGTCAGACGGCCTGCCGTGGGTGTGACCCCACCCCCCTCCACCTGCAGTCAGCTGAACACAGAGCAGCTCAACAAGGGAGGACTCCACCTGAGCCAGAGACCTCACACTGGTATGACATCACACCCTCTACCTGTAGAGTTCACTAGGCGAGTGGGGGTTTGCAGTGAATTTAACACCACGTTATTAAGTTCTTCATGTTCACATGTTATAGTCATTTCTCAAAAGACAAACGGAGCATGAGTTATCATGAGTTTATGTACAGTAAATATTTGTGGTGTTTGTGGAAGAGAGGAATCAGCTCCATGGTAACACTGGCTGATGTGCTCCATTTAAACAAGGGAAAAGAGATTCACTCCATGTTCTGGGAGAATATTTTATTTTCAATAGCTAAAAAATACAACTTGTTTAGCTGGGGAAACATTATTAAACATGCAAATGTGCTTACCTTCTGTACAAGTCTATACACTGACTTCGCCTCCACTCAGACTGCAGATAGGTTAACAAGAGGTGCAGCGAGAGGAGATGCATTATTCCACTCCGGAAAAGTTATTTAAGTCAGTCTGCATTTTCTGTTAAAGCTGCACAACAATGGAACTCAATCCCAGGTAAACATTTATAACAAAACACATTTGGTTTATTGAAATCATGGTTAGTGAGCAATCAGCTCTGTCAACACTGAAAATAAATCTTCTTGCTATTTAATATGTATGTTATGTTGCATTATTTTTTATTAGCATTTCCAGTATAGTAAGCCTCTATGTTGCATGTTTTACTGATTGTATTTACAAGTTCTTCTTGACTGACAGAGAAGATGGTGCAGCTTCTGTCCTATAGTTAGACACATTGTGGCCCTCCGGGGGGATGCTAACTGTCCAGCTGTATTTAATCATTACTGTCAGTGCTAATACTAAGCTATAGGACACACAAACATGTGGCTTTAAATGGTGACTGTATTGAAGTTTTAATGTAAATGATATAAATATCTATGGACGGTTATTGATGAAAAACTGAACAATAGCACTGAAGGATAACACTGTTCATCCTGCAGCTTCAACAGTTCTGTACAGTGTTGTGTCAAAGAAAAGGTCCACGCTCAGGCTACAATCTGACCAAGGACCTCTTGAAGAACATTTTGAATCTTCAGCTGTTCTGTAGCATTAGAGTCTCATCAGGTTCACTAAATGCACTGCAGACATTCAGATTTGTATGCATAGAGTTTTATTCTTAAAATAATTATTTAAAAAAACAGAGCTAGTGTCTGGACGACCTGACCGAAGATGTGAATGTGCTTTCTCCTTTTATAGTGAAACAATCCTAACCCCTGCTGTTCCATCTTCAAACTCTAATACCAATCTTTTGACAACTTTTCTACTGACTTCAGTGTTTTCTAATAAGGGCTGAATGCCCCCCAGCTGCTCCTACCCTTTGTTGTTTTTGTCTAATACTTGGGCAAAGACTCTACAACTACTCCTACCATTTTTTGTTTCGGGACCGCCTTTCCATTCAGTTAACAGCCTTCAACCATGGGCCTTCTGTCCTTGCCTGACCCCTCCCACACACACACACACACACACACACACACACACACACACACACACACACACACACACACACACACACACACACACACACACACACACACACACACACACACTTGAATACTTTATTTGGTTCCACAAATTATATTACATAGACAGGGAATCAAATATATCGGGGCTAAGCAGCACAGAGCACTTAAGGGAACACATAGCACCTCCTTCTCCACACGGCTAAGCAGCACAGAACACTTAAGGGAACACATAGCACCTCCTTCTCCACACGGCTAAGCTGCCAATAATAGCTGAAACAGAGCAATATTTGGCAATTTGTTTGGCTTTTCTCTTTGACATTCCAGCAATTCTCAGACCAATCATGGTGCATTTATATACATGGCCAAGACTTCCGAATATGAGTATGCTTTATCTAAACTTGTACCCAAAGCTGGTTATCACATCGAGCAGTGGTTGGTATTTGATATACTTGTCCTGGAAAGCCTGGTCCATGTACAGGTCAAAGGCACAGCCTACTTCTAATATTAGCACCTCCCTGTGGTTGGTGTCAACAAAAACAACATCAGGTGTATTTGGGATGTTAGCAAAGACATCATTGGTAAAATCTAACCATTCTGGTAACGCTCTAATGTGCTTGTACATTGCTGCGCTAGATGGTAAGATGTTTTGTACCGCATCAGACACAATGTCCACAATACGGTCATGACGGGCTATGTACAGGTGTTTGTATGCATTACATCCATTTGTTATGTGTGCAATGGATTCTAGGCGTTGTTGTGAATCCTGATGGTTTAAACAGAATGGTAGTGTGAATGTGAGGG